GACGTAGGTACAAAAACAGGAAACACAGAGCTGGGAAAAAGTAGATGACAGAAGAGAAACAAATGGGTGTGTAGATAAGGTGGAACAACAAACGACGTTTCTCCTTGCCTTAAAAAAAATTAACAAACAAACAAAAAAAGAAAACAATCCTATTTGGAGTTTAGAGCGTTCCTGGAAATGCAAGTTGGAAGGTGCCCACAGCCAAGAGGCCTTGATGGATGCAACACCCCAGGACCGACCCTTGGCCCAGCCAGGCTCTCCTCCACTTCTGCCAACGCGCACCTTCACTCAGAAGGGGTTTCCTAGGAGAAGAAAACAACTTGAAAAATCTGTCAGTAGTTTCTTCCATGAAACCGTCTAACCCGGGAGAAGAAAGGCCCTCGGGGCCACCCCGCCTGGGCCTGTCTCTGAGGGCCTTGGGCTGAGGCAGGCAGCTGCCCTCGGAAGGGGAAGGAGTGGGGTCTGCCCAGGAGGTGGTGCCCCCACTTCCTTCCCTGCCTGTCCAGCTGGCAAGACGGCTGCTACCTCACAGAGTGCCCTCACCCGTGCAGCCCAGCCCCCCTTTCCTCTGGCCTTTCCATGCCTCATGGCCCCACTCTTTTGCTGCTTTTCTGTTTTTTTGTTTTCAGCTTATAAGAAGGAGGAAAGAACTTACTTAGTTCTTCAAGAAATTGCCCTGAAAACAAAGAGAAGTAGGTGACTTGTGGGCGGTGACCAGCTCCTGCCCGCGCCTCCCTGTGCAGCTCTGCAGGGACGCACCCCCTTTCCACTATGGGACCCACGGATTCCCTGAGGAGCCTGGCTGGCCCTGGGGACAGAGAGGGAGACCCCAGCATCTGGAGCCCTGGTTCATCTTTCCGCCCCCTGCTCCGTGGCCCTGTTTGCACCCCACCCCTGCACCTGCTAGTCTTCGGTGCAGCCAGTTGTAGCAGATGACCAAGGCGGCCAGGGGTCCGAGCACCGGCACGATGACAAACAGGGTCACCTTCCAGCAGGGCACCCTCAGAAAGTGAGGATCTGAATTGTCCACCAAGAACAAACAGGGTTAACGGGGCTCCCCATGCCCACGCACTCCCCCCCCCCATATTGTATGGGGTTTCTTAACATGTTGTAGAAGTCTCAAAATACTGCTTATGTTCATCAATATTTTGAAATGACATAATTAGACCCGAACAACATTTTAGTGGGGCATGGTATCTTCACTCTTCCTCCAAGAAGCCCCCGGGGTTAGTCATGTAGTTGTACTCCTGTACTCAGGAACACGCCACCGCGTGGGTTCAGCTGGTGACATGTGTCCTTGGTTCTCCAGTTACTTCATGTATGGGTGGCACTTCCCCGCTAGACAGCGAGTATTTGTGCAAAGGTCCCGTTTGCCCCCCTCTGCTTCCTGAGAAGAGGATGACGAGCATGTGGTATGAGCCCTGCGGAGCGAGCAGCAGTGCCTCAGTGCAGTGCCCGCACTCACAGCCATCTCACCCGTTCTGGGTGCAGGTGCGTATTCAAAGAAAAGGCAAGAGGAAACCCATAGGAGCCAGGGTCCTGCCCTGGCCAGGTGCCCGGGCCCGAGGGACATAGCTGACCCAGGGCCTGTACCCCAGCACTTACCAAAGGTCCTGTGAAGGCTCTCTGAAAAGAACAGAGGGAGAGGCACTTAGAAGGCCCGCGAGGCCACACTGTCTCCTCTGGGCCTGTGTTTTTTAATCACCTAAAGTTCTTTCTACCTGACAGTGACACCTGACAGACAGACTGAGGGACACCCGACAGACAGATGGAGGGAGGGAAGCTGCGGGTTGGTGCCTATCCTGGCTCACAGCAGCAAGAGGAATGAATGTTCTGTCAGTTTGGGCTGCTTTGGGAGTTTTAAAGGGAACTCAGGGATTGGCAAAGATGTTCTAAGGGAGCGACCATTTTGGTGAGGCCAAAACCAGAAGGGCGGGAAGGAGGAGGGAAGGTAACTGAAACTCACCTATCTCTGCTCGAAGTTTTCCTAAAATGGAAAAAGGCAACACAATCAGTCCCTGGGCTGGCGCACCCCGGCCTGCCCAGCGGGGAGCCTGCTTTGGTGGGAAGAGCCGCTGGGCTTGGAGCCGAGAGCCCGGCTCTTTACTTGGCTATTGTCTGGATTAAAAACTGTCAAATTACAGCGGGAAGGCTGGGGAGGGTTGGGTGGGGGCGGGGGGTGGGGGGTAAGATATCAATCACAGGACTTAGATAAGCATAACCAATGGACACATAACCAATGGACTACCAATCTACACTAATAGAGGAGGGTCAAGGGAGAAAAAAAAGGAGACATATATAATACTCTTTGTAATACTTTAAGCAATAAAACAATTAAAAAAAAACTGGGATAAAGAATGTGGGGAACCTCGGTGGACAGCAAAGCCCCAAACCTACAAGATTTGATTACCGTCCCCCTGCTCTCCGCCCTCTGGCTTGGTCTTGCTCAGTTCACAGGCCACCCCACCCGCTGGGGCCAGTGTGTGAATGTAAAGCCGCGTCCCATCTGACAGGAAGGGAGGAACTGAACACTTAGCGGAGCAGCTGCTGCGCACCAGGCACTTTACATAACATTACCCCTTAGTCCCTCCTTACAATTGAGGGGAGGGCGTTGGCTCTGCCTGACCCGTGGGGCCCTGAGCCGGGAGGGTCAGCGGAGCGGGACGCAGGCCCGCGGAGCCATCAGGTTCTTTCTGCTCAGCCTGTGGACTTAAGGCCTTGCTAATGGGGGATGAATTCAAGGGGAGAAAAAGCCCCCATTTTTTATGCCACCAACACCCCCTCCCCGCAAAGCCCTTCTCGCTGCCATCCTCTTGGGAGCGGGTGTGGAAGAAGCAGGTCCTGCGGCTTTGCCTCTGAGAACGTGGGGAGAG